CACACAAATGTGTGTGCATCACAAATGTTTTAAGGGACAAACAACAATGTTGTTTTATTGTTGAATGAGATATATTTTTGAGGTTGGGAAATGAATGCATCAGTGGTGAATGTATGTCTAAGTAGTGTTCAAGCTATTACAAGTTATTGTTGAATGTACTGGTTTCTTACTGCTTGCATATGGATGCATTAATTGTGCATGTGTGTTTGTATGTTGTGTTGAAGCTATTATAGCACAGTCCAATAGTATACAGGAAACCAAATCCATAATTGTCATGACCACCGATAGATATGAGTGTGCATGTGTGTGTGTGTGTGTGTGTGCATGTGAGAAATTGCTAGAGAATGAGAGAGAGTTTGCATTCGGTTTAAGAAGAAAGTCATTGAAAACCTACTTATGAGATTTAAACACATATTCCACTTCATAATTGTAAAAAGACTTAATAAATTGTATACACACAATACTCAAGAAAATATATCAATCGATTAGGAAACTAGTGGTATACAATATTGAATTGAGGTTATGCTTGACATTATCTATATACTGCTTCAATTTTGAGGTGCAATGAAGTTTATCATGCAATATCTGCTTCAATTGTTGTACAAATATATATCTCTCTAGGATGCTTCTCTCACTCATCAATAAAAATCTCTCTCTCTCTCAATGCAAAGTACTTTACTTTCAATTGACATTTTATCCCAAAAAATAAAATTCTAAAAATTAGGAAACTAGTGATTTGGTACACAATATTGAATTAAGGTTGTGCTTGACATTGTCTACATACTGCTTCAATTTTGAGGTGCAATGAAGTTTATCAAGCAACATTTGCATCAATTGTTCAAATGTATCTCTCTCTAGGATGCTTCTCTCACTCAGCAATAAAACTCTCTCTCACTCAATCCAACGTACTTTACTTTCAATTGATATTTTATCTCAAAAAATAAAATTCTAAAAATTAGGAAACTAGTGAATTGGTACACAATATTGAATTGAGGTTGTGCTGGACATTGTATACAGAATGCTTCAATTTTGAAAGTTTATCATGCAACATCTGCTTCACTTTTGAGGTGCAATGAAGTTTATCATGCAACATCTGCTTCAATTGTTGTACAAATATATCTCTCTAGGACGCTTCTCTCACTCATCAATAAAAGTCTCTCTCATCAATAAAACTCTTTCTCTTTCTCTCTCTCTCAATCCAACGTACTTTACTTTCAATTGATATTTTATCCCAAAAAATAAAATTTTAGAAATTAATAAAAAATAAACGATATCTAGGTCTCAATTTTAACACATGTTGCCTATTACTTCTAAAGCTAATCCAATATAGATACCCATAACTTCTTTAACTTCCCAAGAGGTTATTAAAGAAACCAGGAACTTCTTTAATTTCCCAGGAGGTTGTCAAACACAAAAACCTATAACTTATTTAACTTCCTAGGAAGGTATCAAACACAAAAACCAGTAACTTCTTTGACTTCTAAGAGGATATCAAATACAGAAACCATGAACTTCTTTAACTTCTCATAAGGTTATCAAACACAGAAACTAGAAACTTCTTACAGTAACTTCTATCTTTCCAGCAAGGAGGAACTTCCAATTTATAGTTCATGAACTTGCTTCCAGTTATCAAACAGACCCTTAAGGAACTTTGGGTGAGATCCAGGGCCTAGATATTCTCACTTATTTCGAAACTATATTATGGGGTATACCATAATGATAAATAGTGAAATTTTTTAAGATCAATAATACCTAAAGTATAGAGGGACTCTATCGATTTTCCCATTTTTCTAAACATTTTATCCATTTTCTCCCATTTTATAGATACTTAAGTGATTTAGGTGAGATTTTAAACGATACAACATACATCTGTCATCATTTGGACCTCCCATTCACACTCTCACTTAAGATTTTTTTATCTAATGTATCTCACTTCGTATGCAATCACTTTCCCATAAAATTTCTATGAGATAATATTTCATTGAGTTAGTTTGTATGGGACATATATTCCTTTATGTAATTAAGCATTATCTATTTTCTTAAGCTTCTAACTCAAATTTATCTACATTTTCAACTTTTTCTCTCCATTGATTATCTCATCTCCTCTAACCCCCAGCAATTTTCTCTCTCTCCTCATCATATCCCTTTCTCCAACCTTTTTTCAAATCTTTATATTCCATTCCTCACATGCTCTCTAAAGCTAATTTTTAAACAATGGAGTATGTTCTACTTTTTCTATTTATTTAACATTATTAGAAGGCCGATAGATTTTTTTTTCTATTTACATTCAAAATCTATACTTTAGAATTTTGAGTGCAAACTTTTATGTTTCAGAAATAGTTCATGAGTCTGGTTTTATAATTTAAAAATTAAGATTTTGAAAATTTGTCTATTTTATTTTATTTTTCAATATTTTATACTTTCTTATTATATATTTAAAATATAAAATTAGTTTAATTTTTTTTTATATTTTGAACAAAATAATTTTTAAAGATTTTGAATCATATTAAATACAGTAAGAGTGAGGATCAAAGAGTCTTGGTGAAGGATGATGAGGTCAACAAAAGGTGGAGAGTTTATTTTTAAAAAATTTATTAAATGACGAATATAATGGGAATATAGCGGTAGACGGAACTATTGGTACAAATGAGGGCGGAGCTAATAAATACATTTGTAGGATTAAAATGCCAGAAGTGAAAGAAGCTTTGAAAATGATGAAGATATAAATGGCTTTAGGGCCAGATGATAACCCTATAGATGTTTGGAAGTGCATGGAGGAGATTGACATTGACTGGCTGATGAAGTTGTTTAATAAGTTGTTGAGAACAAAAAAATATCAGATGAAAGGAGAAAAAATGTTGTGGTACCTATTTATAAGAACAAATGAGACATACATAATTGTGCGCACTATCAAGGGATCAAGCTTATGTGTCATACTATGAAGCTTTGAGAGAGTGATTGAGCAACGACAAAGCATGAAACGAGTGTATCTAAAAACTAATTTAGTTTTATGTCAGGAAGGTCAACAACTGTGGCTATTTTCCTACTTAGAAAATTGATTGAGAAATTTAAGACGAAGGGAAAAGATCTCGAGATTTGATTTGGCAAGTGTTAGAAAAAAAGAAGTCTCCAGATAGTTCATCGACTTAGTGAGATATGTATGATGGAGTGCTAACTAGTTTACAAACAATTAGTGGAGAGACGAGTAAGTTTTCAATAATAATAGGTCTCCATCAAGGGTCAGCATTGAACCCATACCTCTTTGACTTAGTTATGAATGACTAACTAGGCACCTACAATATGAGGTATGTGGTGCATGTTGTTTACAGATGACATAGTTTTGATCGATGACACCTGAAACCATGTCAACATAAAGTTAGAACTTTGGAGGGATATTCTAGAATTCAAAGGTTTTAAACTTAGCCGGACTAAGACAAAGTACATAAAATACAAGTTTAGTAATAATAGGAGTAGAGACGAGGAAGTAATTAAGATTGACGGCCAGAAAGTACAAAAAAGACCGCACTTTCGATATCCTAGGTCGATAATCCAATAAAAATGGAGAGATTGAGGAATATGTCGCACACAAAATTACAACTGGATGGGCGAAGTAGAGATATGCAACTGAAATTTTATGTGATCGCTGCATACTAATGAAGTTGAAAGGCAAATTCTATAGGACAATTATGAGACCAGCTTTGCTCTATGGGGCGGAATGTTGGACGGACAAAAAACAATATACCAAAATGAAAATATTGAAAATGGATGGGTTAGATAATGTGTTGCAAGATGTACTATTTTTGAGACTTAAAATATTTTTTTCTTTAATATTCATACATATCGATGTCGAGATGGTTAATTAGAGGGTTCTCCAACTTCAAAACAGATTCTTACAACGGATTTTTTAGATGCACCTTAATTCTACATTTCAAGGTTGCAACCTTATATAAAAGTTTTTCTTTCCGTATTGTCCTAGTTTTCTATTACTGAGATAGCGTTAGTAGACAAGATATAAATCGGCCATCTATAAATGAATAGTCCAATACGTTAATATAAATTTTTTGATTGCTCGTTAAAACTTGGAAGTGGAAGTCCATGTTGTGTAAAAAATATGCCGTTATTCGATGTTCTTCAAATTCTATTACTATCTTGTCGCCTTCGTCCAAAATAATGCAGCATAAGATACATTTTACAAGCTAAAGATGAACAAACATCCTCAATATAAGAAATGAGATTCATTTGCTTGTTTAGGATGGTTCAATAATGACATATAAATACTTAGTTCTGATGGACCTTTTTTTGTGAAATTTTCTAAAATTTATAAGAGATGACGTCCTACCAACGCGTGCACATACATGATACTATGGATTTTAAAAACACCGGGTCAGTACGGATTTTCTCAGTCCGATCTAAAAATCGGTCACCCTCAATATGCAAGAAGTCATCTTGATCTAGAAGAGAACCGACAATTTGGTACTATAAAATTGTATTTTGCTATTTTCACTATTTTTTTCGTACAATGAAAGGGAGATCCGGGCAGCCGGATCGATTTTTGCGATGCCGGATCGCGGTCATCAATGTGTTTTTCAAATTACTCCGCATATCTCACACCAAAAGTAAATAGGTGGACAGGAGGCCCGATGCGCGAAGAAAGAATAGAGTGGGGAATATGTGATATGGGGCGGGGACAATGCACATGTGTGTATGAAATACGAAAGGAGGTTCGGTCCTGTTGGTGTCTAGGCGCGGAGGTGGCGGCTGCGGCTGTGATTTATATAAAATGGAGTTGTGATTAGAGAGAGAAAATGGGGCAGGCAGCTAGGCATACATAATAGGAAGAAGAAGAAGAGGCGAGGCAGTACGTAGAGAGAGGTCTCTTCCTCTCTCTCTGTCCAACTTGCGGCCATGGCATGGCATGATGGACGAGCACCACGAAGCCAGCCGGCCGCCCCGTCCCACGCGCTCCTGTGCCAATAAAAACCTAAAATCACCCACCTGCCGCCATTTCATTTCATTTTATTTCATTTATAGTGAGAGAGAGATTCTTCAATTTTTCCAATCCTCTTCAATCAGTCTCAGTTGATTTTGAGAGAGAGACCATGGGAGGCTGCCAGTCGTCGAGCTGCTTCACTATAACCCACCCTTCGGACGAGGATGATAGAGAAAAGGAAAAGGAGAAGGAGGTGGAGCGCCAGGAGATTGAGGATGCCCCCCTTCGATATTCGGAGGTCGGGGGTATCCCAGCTTTTGCTGAGTTTTCTCTCTCTGATTTGAGGGCTGCAGCCAGCAATTTCTCTCCGGAATTCATTGTGTCCGAAGGTGGCGAGAAGGCCCCGAACCTGGTGTACAAGGGCCGCCTCCCCGACAAGCGATGGATTGCAATCAAGAAGTTCACCAGAATGGCTTGGCCTGATGCCAAACAGTTTGCAGTTACAGACACTTCCTCTAACATTTCAACAACTCTCTCTCTCTCTCTCTCTCCTCCCTTTGTTTTCCTTCTTAAGTTTTGTGGGGATTAATATCTCTAAAAATTGTAGGATGAAGCTTGGGGAGTGGGAAAATTGCGGCATCCGAGGCTTGCAAATCTTATTGGGTATTGTTGTGATGGGGATGAGAGGCTTCTGGTTGCTGAGTACATGCCCAATGAGACACTAGCCAGGCATCTCTTTCACTGTGAGTTGATCTCTCCACCGCTGATTTTGCATGAGTTATGTATGCCCCCCCCTCATTTCTTTGAGTTGATCCCTCCTGCCCTGAATTTTGAACCCCCTTCCTCTTTCTTATATTTCTGTATATGTTTATTCAAATTAGCATGGCCATTATTTAAGCTGAGCTTCCTATTCGAAGTATGTGCCAATCTCGTTGCACTGAAAATAGAATAGAGGAGGTGCGCAGGATAGTAGTGGCTTAGTTGAGGGTCAACTTTTGCGTTTTGAAGTTAATGGAGGCTAGTATCAGCGTATGATTGTTAGAATTATCTAAACCTTATAGTTTCGAGCTGCCTAATTTGGATATAGATTGTGCTCTAGTTCGGTTGTTTAGAGAAATTCTTCAATCAGTTGTTTGGGACCCTGTACTGCTTATGTTGGTTATCAAACGTGATCAGATGTGTGGCTTGTTTCCCCAGTTTGGTTTGATTCAACTCAGTTTATTTTCCCAATTTGTTACGGATGTAGACGGGTCACATTGCCTTTGTGAAAGGAGTTATCATCAGAAATCTACATAGTGGTTTTTGCAATATGAAGATTCTATCATTGCATTCGTAAAAAGAGGTGTTTCACCCATCTATCTCTGTAGCCAACGAAGAGCTGCGGTAGTCTGGAGCCCTTAGCCTTTTTGAATTGAATTCTAATTCCAGGTGCCATATATCTAAGAACAAGATTTCCATTTGATCACTGCTTTAGTCTTTAGATGGTTTGAACTTTAACATGTTTTACCTTTTTCAATCTCTTTTTGTAAGATATGACTTCAAGCTTAGAGCATATAGAGGTTGTGGGATTAGGTGAGTCATGCTGAATTAAGATATTGTTTTCTTCTCCTAGTTTAGCTACACTTTTCACCAAAGTTCCCTTTCGTGTGAAGTGTAATTTGTAAATGTTCAATGGTCCTTTCTGTATTAAAAACTATCGGCCCTATTGGCTGGTACCCCAATGGAATCATGACTTGTCTAATGACTCTTGTATTTTTAAAAGCCAGTATTAAACGTTTGAAATGATGCACATTCTATTTATAAAGCTTGAAGGCCCTGTCATTGGTTCTGTTACCTATTGGTTCTCAACCTTCAAATTACATCACTACTATAAAAGGATAGCACACCGGTTTTCAAATTAATGAAATGAGAAATTCCTAAATCACAAATATGAGATATAAAGAGAATGAAATCCATCACTTCCTGAGGTGGAGGCTTTGGCTATCTGCCTGACCACTATTTGTGGTTTTGACAATAAATTCTCCACCTGTATAAAATTATGTGGTGCATGACAATCCATTGCATCTAGGCTTGCAGCCATCACAATCATGCCTATATTCCTGCCTCATCAATGGCTGTCTCTGGGTCAAGCTCTGGCATTTCATCGCATGTTTGCTTCACATACAAGGGAATTCTTTGTTGATCATGCTGCCTTTCTATAGCATTTGGCACTTGTTCTCTAAGAACTCATTCAATACGTCTTTATAAGAATCAAAGTTTACCATACCTTCTTGGGAAACTGCATGTCCTAGATGTGTTTTAGGAATTTCTTTTGTATTGGGGCCTCCACTACACTCATGGATTTACTGCTTCAAAGTCATGACATTAGTTGCACTAACCAGCTAGTCTTAACTTTTTAAGGTGGATTATTGTTCAAAATTGTCCTATGAAGAGGATCTTGCACTGTGAGCAGAGACATTGCGTTTTGAACTGGAAGGTAGGACTGGCTCCATACATGATTTCCAATTTAGGTAATTGGAGTCATCTTGCCTCTACATTTCCCAACATCAGCGTTGTGTCCTCCATGAAGATTTGCTCAAAAGTCTCTCCCTCTAAATAAATTGGTCCCTCCAAGTCTCTATTGAGATGAGTATTTTTTTTTATATGATGTGAATTAATTATTTGCTTTGCCTGATTGTAGTCTTGGTTGATGAGCCCTACATATCTCGTTAGATTCTCGTAACTGGCAAAACGTAATCTTACTTCGTTGATCTTGCATGCAACATGAATGTGGCTTCTGTTGATCAAGTGCTCCTCCACAGCACAAAATTTTACTCTTCTATGACGATTTCATTTTACGTTGTCACAAGTTTGGCAGCTCTTGATTGTTTATCTCAAAAGCACTTCCTTGGAATGATTTCTTGCAAGATTCATATGCCATTCTTGAACAACAACGGAAATTCAAAGAGAAGGACAAATTCTAGTGCCCAAAGATGAGACATGGATATATCATTAACAAACGATTCATACTCACAAGCCCGCAGATTTGCATCTCCCTATCTTAAGACTTGTTGGTCTTTCTTCAATACTATTTATATTCCCAAGTATATATTTAAGTTTTTCAATGGCAACCATAACAGCAATCAATAATTAAGTATTATATGTTGATTCTGACAAGAGAGTTGATATTATACAGTTTGATGGGGCATATTTCCTATAAGTTGGATGTCCTTATCACAGGCCCTAGAAATCCTCTGTTATTATTGTATTCCGACATGCTTTTATCTTCCATAGGTCCATTTTATTTGTAGTTCACCTTAACTTGATACCCCATGAACACTGCCATGTGCCGGACCTGTAAATCTTTTGGGTCTAGGATTTATATAATCATGCTTCTGATGACTTCTGTGCCAGTTATCCAATCCGTGATGCAAGGAAGGCTCTGAATTACTTTTTGATATCCATGGTGAGCTAGGCCTTTTGGAAGCCTAAGCAAACCCCGCTATGAAACAGTTTAAACTTCAATTTTTACTGCATTTGTTTTGGTTTTTCATTGTTGATAAATGAGTCCATCTGATTGCAGTAATAATAGCATTCAACTGCTTAGTTCATGGCCGTCGTCCATTGGTCTATTCCAGATTAGATATCTTGCTACACACTTTAATGTGTTCTGCAGTTCCATGAAATGTCCGTGATTCACCAACCCCGTTCTCAAGCTTTCGTGTCTTTCTGTGCAATTTGAATAAACCAAGATACCTCTTACCGGCACAGCACCTGCTGTTAACAACTGCATTTTTTGAGCTAGGTTGGTACCATAGTTCTTAATCCTGGTGCCTGGCGGGTCCACCCATGTTTTGTCCTGTTGACCTGGCCATGTCAACTTTCAATAAAACCCAAAGCTGGTGGAATGGTTTGGCCACTTTACAAGCTCCTTTAGAACATCAGTTAATTTAACAAATTGTTTAAAACATTAAATAGATGTCATGTTCATTTCAGTTTTTTTTTTTTTAATCTTTGTTTTGTTTATTTTTATTATAACGTATGTGAATCAAATTTAGGGAAATTTATCAATTTTCCATAAGAGATGAACTATTTAACATTATGCCCATTCGCAATTATTCCAACTCATGATCAGAGCCTTTTGATGGTTATTTGCAATTAGATAAAAAGATATGGATAGAATGTTAAATAGTTCATCTCTTATAGGTATTTGGATAAAAATTTCTGTAAATTTTATAATCTAAAATTATTTTATAATTTTAGAAATTCCCTTTTTTACCTGCCTGGTTACCCACCATTACGTAGGTCGATCCAACCCAGTGTTCACTACTTTTGGTATTGGATTTAGGTCTTTGAATTACACAGTTTTCAACAAGCCGAGGCAAACTGAGCTTGGGCATGTTTAAGCTTGGCTTGTATGGGTGGAGGTCCAGCTTGAGCTTGGGTTGAACCACCTAGCATGAGCTTGGCTTGATTAAGGGAAGCTATGCTTGGCCTCATCTTGACTTGTTTACATAACAAAGCCGATAAACAGGTAGAGTCAATCCATAAACAAGCTAAACTCATGCCAATAACATAATATCTATATTATGTTATATAATATCTTAAATTGAGTTTTCTATTTGGCGGAAGGTCAAGGTAATCTAGGATATATTGTATAAATAATATATGAAACATAATTAAGCCAACCTTGTCTCATCTTGAGCTTGGCTTGTACAACCCTATTGAACTATTGCCCATTCTAGATCTTTGTGAGAGATCAGCATTTTGTTTTGACCCTTGAAGGAGGCAATCCTCATGTGCATATGTTTTTTACCCATCTTCTACCTTTTGATGCCAGTTTTGATTGATTGTGACAACATTTTTGTGCATAGAACATCTAATATTTTTAGTTTAATGAACATTGTCTTACAATTTTTTTGTGTGCAATTTTAGTGGGCTAGTCAAACTTAAACATACATGACTTTGTACTAGGAATTAAATGTTCAGTCAGAAGTAACATTAAAAGAATGAAGATCACCTAACACTCATCCACTATGTAGCGAGAGCCATGTAAGCCCACAATAGAACATCTCAATAACTAGCAAATGTTAATCTCCCATTACCGATCACATCTTACATAGCTCACAAGAAAATTCACAACTCAAAGGGCATAAACTAGCAAAACTGAAAAGTAGACAACAAATTATGATGAACGAACTCAAATATGAGGTTGAACGAACTCAAATATGAGGTTGAGCTTCAGCATCACTAGCAATGTTGCGTGCACATCCAGGACCAGCATCAAATGCATCAGAATCTGATGATGATAGCAAGCCATCATCGTCAGAATCATCCTCCTCATATGCATCTTCTTCCCTTGTCTTTTCTAAGTCCACCACCTCACTCTTACTCCTATTGACATCTTCCCCTTGCCCTTTGCCTTCTCCTGCCCCTTCCTCTTCCCATTCCCCTTTCCCTGAGTTCAAGAACTAGTAGTCCTCATAGGGCTTGATGCCAAGCCACCTCATATACTTGGGTCCATGTCATGATCTCTCCTGCGAATACAGGTTCATTGCCAGCATCCTCCTCGACCAACCACTTTCCCAATTCATCCATATCTTTCATGATGATGGGGTCCATTATTTGATTCCACTCTGAACGACATTCTTTTAGATTTTATATAACAGGATATAGATATTATGTTATTGGCAAGATTGGTCCATCACTTTGGCTCAACCTTATTCTCTTCTTTTTATGTGTTTCTTTCCTAATGCATCAGGGTACTTTTAGATTTTATAGTACTTCAAAAAATGTCGTACAAGTTGGGTTGGTAGGAGATGAGGACAAATGGTGAATTTACCATCTCGAATGTGCTGAAATTGGGGTCGCCTGCTAACGATGTACAAGTCAAGTTTAAAATCCGTTGAGCCATCCTCTGCAAGTGAAGGGCACTTTGTCCATGGCTGGCTCACCATGATGCGAGTGTACTTTAAAAGTAAGTAGGGTGCATATATATGAGTAATTCAGAAATCAAGTTAAAACTTTGAGTAAGAAATACAAACTTAAATAGCAAATACATCTTCAATTTAAATGGATATATTTTTGTTCTTTGCCTTCTTGTGATGTCCGTCCCGAGTGTCCTCATGGTCCATGGAGTACAGATGCAAGTCAAGTTCCAGACACTTTGTCTTGGACATTTGAGTCAGGGTTGAGCTGTATATTGCACTTGTTAATTGCTTGCATGAAACAACCTTTAGACTCAATCTCAGAATCGGTATGGTAATGAGCAGGGTTGAGATAGTACCTTGCTAAGAGTAAGGGCATTTATAGCTGTGAATCCCATTTTTCATCTACAATTTCTAAAATAAGGGCATATCGACTCTCATCATTCTTCAAGTTCTTGATTTTTTTCTTTTTCAACCCAATGCCTTGTAAATATGCCTCATTGTTGGCTCTTTTTTGCTATCCACAAGGCGCAATACTTTTACAACGGGCTCAAAAAGGTTGATGCAATACTTAACCCCATTCCAAAACCGGGGTGTCAAAATAATGTCACACACCTTTTTCCCCTTTCCATCCTTAGATCACTTGCTTTTTCTGACTTAAAGAGACAAACATGTTTCTAACCCCGTCTCTTTGTTCATTAAGAGAATACAAAGACAAAAGTGGAATTTGTGAGGGTATTTGTATTTAAATAGTGATAAAAGCTCATATCTAAACAGGCTGTATCATACGTCCAAAAAGTTGTTAATGGATGAAAAATTTGAATTTACTTTTTCTGTTCAACTTCAAATAGGTTCTTTAAGGTAATACAGCTGGGTGATGCTATTCTGTCCCACGTGTTTTCTTCTTCTCTGTTTTAACATTCATACAAAAGAAAACATGCAAGGTTTTTGTTTTATAAGAGTAAATATTTGGCATTCACATTATAATTAGAGTATAGCTCTTTCTTTCTTTCCTCTGCTGCTTTTCATTTTTGTATAGCTTGCCTCTATGATTGAGAAATGGCTTGCCAGTTTCCATAGATATTGACTGGTTATATGCATGAGAGGCGCATGAGTTCTATTTCCTTACTGTTTTTCTCTATAGGGGAAAAGCAAACAATTGAGTGGGCTATGCGGCTAAGAGTTGCCCTTTATATATCTGAAGCTTTAGAGTACTGTAGTAATGAAGGAAGGCCCCTGTATCATGACTTGAATGCTTATAGGGTTCTCTTTGACCAGGTAAGGCTCTACCGAGTTGCATCAGACTATTCTTTATGTGGTTTTGTTTTCTATACCTGTTTTAATTGTTCATTTTATTTACTTTTTTGTTGACAATGTAAGAAATCAACATAATCTCTTTGGGTTTGAGAAATTTAAGTCAAGTTTTTTAGGTTTTTGTTTACATTCATAGGAACCAACTTTTTTCTTATTCTGTATCTTCCAATACCTATGTCATGGATCACTAATTTTAGAGAGTAGCACTATTCTTTTTGTTTATTCATGATTAAAAGTACAGATGATCTTTATCTGAATATTTTTTCAAGTTTTTTTTTTGTGGATGATGTATTTAATTTTTGTCTTGCTGTTTCTGAAATGGGATTGAGTGAGTTCATTTATTAGTTGTGAGTTCTGACTAGAAATACGTGTCTACATGGACTTTCTCTTTATAATATGAGGTGCTCTGTTGGGTTTATTGTTAAGTTAGTTTGAATGCTAGGAATTCATCAGTTTGTTGATGATATGGGTGTATGGCTTTTGCCGAACCAAGATTCTCATGTTTTTAATACACAAGCAGACTTGGTATGTTTTCCCATTAGTAGTTCTTTTGTGGATATTAGATTTCCATTATTTTCAGGCATGGCATTTCAGTAATAGGTTCTGGAGTGTTCACTTTTTCGTAGTGTTTTAGGTCTTCTAATTCTCTTTTTCACTCTATTTTTCATTTCCCAAATCTCACTTTGCTTTGGAGGTACATCTGTGCGAATTATGAACTTATAGAAATTAGATACTGGAAAGTTGTTGGAGATACTTGTATGTATAGGAGAAATCTTATACCTAATCATATAATGTGAAGCAATTTATGGTATGCCTCATCTAGCAAGTAGTACATAGTCTGCTCTTTGAATAAACTTGTATCCATTTATCATAATACCTAGCAATTTAGAATATGAATCTTGTTTTGATAAATCTTGGAAAAGGTTCCTTGATTGGCCTTGGTGATGATAAATCTTGTTAGAGAAGTAGGTAACAAGTTTGTGATTCCAAACTATTTGAAAAAAATAAACAAAGAAAAAAAAACGTTTGTGATTTCAGACTGTTGTTCTTCATGCATCTTATCTTATGCTACCACTTTGCTTGGGCCAGTTGAAGAGAAGTCCATGAATTGAGAGTATGGAGAGTAAGCTAGCCTCATGGAAAGGTAATCTCTTTTTGTTTGGAGGCAGTATTGCCCTCATTAGGGCAAACCTTGGCCTTTATACCTGTTTTTTTCATGGAGGGTGTGTAGAATGGTGGAGATGGTGTGAGTAACCATATCATGTTGGAGTGGGTGGCGACTCTAGTATGCTTTCTGACTAGTGTTTCAAAAAGCGGACCGCCCTGAGCTTGGGTGGCCACCTAGGCAGTCCAGGGAGCCTGGGCACATCGCCCAGGCCTAGGTGCCAAAAATAGGCGGTATGGGCATTTTTTGTCATTTTTTTTTTATACTAAGGGGCAAAATATGTGGGTTTTAGGTTCATTGAAACCTAAAACTCATTAGAGCCTATTTTAGAGAGAGAAAGCCCCAAAATACTAGTTTTGGTGATTTTTTCAGGATGGAAGGGTTTCTTAAAATTATGAGAAATTGATCAGAACATCACCCATTGATATTAGATTTAATTTTTGATGTTTTATAAATATATTGGGGGGTTTTTTAGAAGATTTCGAGTCCTTCGAAGCATCTTTTGGGTGAAAGTTTGGAGATTGAGGCATTGAGCAATCAAACTCAAAGTAAGTTATTTTTTTTTATTGCTTGTATAAGTTGTATCAATGTTAAAAAAAGCGGATCGCCCAGCGCCTAGGTGGTCCAGAGGGCCTGGGCACATTGCTTAGGCCTAGGCAGTCAAACTGGGCGGCAGTCCCTGGGCGGCTGCTGCCTAGGCAGTACGAAATCTGCATAGGTGGGCGCCCAGAGGCCGCCTAGGGCCTCCGCCCGCTAGGGGCGGAATTTGTTTTTGTTTTTTTTCATTCTATTGTGTTTTTTTGAAACATAAAGGCTTTTAAGGATGAGTTTTAGGTTCATTTGAAACCTAAACCCACAAGAAGCCATTTTAGAGAGAAAAAAACTTCAAAGAAACTAAATTTTGTGATTTTCATTGGATCGAAGTGTTTCTCAAAGTTACAAAAAACGGATCCAAACATCACTCAGGTAGATTAGATTTAGTTTTGGAGTTTTATAATCCTATTACAAGGTGTTTTTGATTATTTTAGCACCTGAAAACAACCCAGAGGTGGGTAATCCAGGTTGGAAGTATGGTTATAACCCGAATCCAAATGACAAAAATCATCTTAAATATAATTATTGTGGAAAGGATACTAATAGGGGCATTTACCTACTTAAAAAACACCTTGTCGGTATTAAGGAGGATGTTGCCCTGTGTAAAAATGTTCCTGAGGCTATCAGGGAGGAGATTATACAATATTTGAATTCAAGAAAACACAAAAAAGATAGAAAAGGGTAGAAAATCCAAGACTCCTAGGGCTTCATCGGCACATACTAGTAAGAGGGAGGGTAGAAGAAGAGGAGGAAGATGCAGATTAGAAGAAACAGAGGAGGACGAGCGTTATATTGAAGAGGGAGATGACTCTGATGATGATGGCCTCAAATCTGATTCATATGATAAGGCTTACCCTATTCCTTGTGATGATGATGATGACTGAAGACACTTGGTGTTGAGTGTTGAGTGTTGATTGTTGACTATTGTGTTCTAGACTTTAGTTTGTATACTTTCTGAATTTCTGTATATTTTCTTTTTCATATTTTTAGTTTCTACTTTCTAGTTTCTAGTTTTACTAACTTTTGTGTGTACAGTCTATAGTGTATCAGACTATCAGTGTATGCTTGTATGGTTTTACTGTTTTAGGCTTTTGGCATTGTATGAAAATATGGATTATGGTATTATGGATGATCAAAATTCTCTTCTCGACTTCTATCTTTTTTTTTTCAACTGGGATATGGTCTTATGGATTATCAAGATTCTTATGAATTATTGGAATCAAATTATCTTTTTTTTTCTTTTCAACTGGGCCGCCCAGGTTCTGGGCGCCCGCCTAGGCGTTGGGCGGCCTAGACCCCCATGGCCGCCTGGGTGCCTCCTAGCGCTTTTTGAAACTATGAGTTGTATTATTTTGAGATGTCTTCTTCTGGATCTAATAGGAGTGGTGATTCCGGTTGGAAATATGGCTACAACCCAGATCCTAATGATAAAAATTGCATTAGGTGCAAGTTTTGTAAGAAGGATACAAAAGGGGGCATAAATCTGTTCAAGAAACATCTTGCCGGTATCAAGGGGGATGTTGCTCCATGTAAAAAGACTCTTAATGCTGTTAAAGAGGAAATAACCAATTTTTGAGTTTGGTAAAAATGAAAAAGATGAGAAATTTGTCTCCATAGCAGAGATTAGGTCTGGGGTTCGGGTCAGTTATGATGATGATGATAAAGATGAGGATGGGAAAGGATGTCAAGAGGAAGAACAATCCGTTATTAGGGGAAAGGGAAAGGGAGTTGTAACTGCTTCTGGTTGAGGTTGCAGTCTGACCCTGAGGTTGCAGGAGAGAAACAAAGAAACAAACCACTATTGAAAATGAAATGAAGAAGGAAGAGAGAGATAGAGCTGCTTTTTTTATTGCTACATGGTTTTATGAGGTGAGCATTCCTTTCAATATCGCTCGCCTAAGCAGCTTCTATGCCTTGATAGAGGCAATTGGCCAATTTTGGTCTGGGATGAAACCCCCCACCCCATATGAGCTTTCAGAGCCTCTTTTGAAAAAAGCAGTGAGTGTCACGAAGGATGCTGTAGAAGTTATGATGGATGCATGGGCTTAGTATGGAGTTTCTATTATGACTAATGCTTAGAGTGATAGGAAGAGAAGAAGTCAAATGAATTTGCTTGTGAATTGTCCTTTAGGGGTTTTTTTTTTTAGGTCTATTGATGCATTTGATTATACCCATGATGCCTATCACACATTCCAAGTTGTAGACAAGGAAATCAAAGAGGTTGGGGAGCATCTTGTTGTATAGGTTGTCACAGACAATGCTGCTCGTAATGTTGCTGTTGCTAATTTGTTGCGCATAACTTATTCTAGAATCTTTTGGACACCATGTGCAGCATATTGTATAGACCTCATGCTTGAGGCTCTTAGCGGTTTAACCGAGATATTAGTTGCAGTGAAGAAAGCAAAGTCAGTTACAAATTTCATTTATAGCCACTATCTCACCCTCAACATGATGGGTAGATATAAGAAGAAGAAAGAGATTGTGAGGCCTGGGGTCACGAGATCTACGACCTTGTACTTATGCCTAGATAACATACATTTGAGGTGAGTGTAGTTGAGGTAGATGTTTACCTCGGAGGACTGGAGAGCATGCAAGTGGTCCAAGGATCAGGTTGGGAAGAAGGTAAAAGACATTATCCTTTCTAAGGCTTTTTCGGCGAAGGGTGAATGACGCTCTTAAGGTATTTTTTCCTCTTGTCAAAGTCCTTCACATGGTTGATAATGACAAGGCTTCTATGGGCTACATATGAGGCTATGGAGAATTGCAAAAGAGAGATAGCCCAAAATTTTGATGATGATTGGAACCGCTGTAAGCTTGTTTGGGAGATTATTGATGAGAAGTGGGATAGGCAGCTACATCGGCCATTTCATGTAGCTGGTTATTATTTGAACCCACCTTTTTTATGTTGACAAGGATATACACACAAATGACGCAAGTATGCCTGGATTTAATAAGTGTGTAGATGTGCTAGTCTTTGATCCTGATATCCAGGATATTATATGTGCTGATGAGCTGATAAATTACAAATGCTTATTAAAGTCGTTTGGGAGTCCAATGGTGATGAGGCAAAGGACCAAAATTGATCCAAGTAGTAATAATATTCTTAAGTTCATCAAGTTCAAGTAATCAAGTTTCATTTTTAGAATTTTATTATATATTTATGATTTTATTCTATATCTTTGTAGCTAATTGGTGGAGCCAACAT